CCTGGGCTGTAAGTTACTCCCTGACCATTGTCTTTTCCGTGCTGGGTGAATTCCCAGCTGCCCTGGGCTCTTCTGAGCTGTCGAACTGCGTGATCAGGATGACGATTTTTATGCTCTGGTTTTGTGGCACTGTCGCAGCAGAAGTGATCTGGTAGTGTTCTGTGGGAGTTTCAGTAGCTGCTTATTTTTAAGCGTCTTTTTTCCTGTACGAGTTCCCCTTTTCCTGCCCATTCTAGAAGCCGCTGGTTAGACACCCAGGTGGACTGGGGTTGATAAGGAACCATAGAAGATCCTCGTACAGAGGGTATGTCAGATTGTGTCCGTCCACAGATTGTGTGTCGTTAATCCTTGCCTGGAAGGAAAGGAAGTCAGGACCAATTGCAAGTACTGAAGCGTTGGCTGTGCAATTACTGCACAGTGCATTTCAGTTTCCATCTATCCATAACTCCATTTTCAGAAATTCAGTCTCTTGAGGGCAGAATTTCTCATTTAAATGTAGTGTAAGTTTTGCTATTTCTTTGAAATAATTACACAATTACAGTGCAGTCCTGCTGCAGGTAATCCTTAAATATACAAAGGATCAGTTAATTCTTATCAATTTGTTATTCTACCCAACATGGACCCCACTGACTGCAGAACCGGTGAAGATGGCTGCCCTGAACTCCTACCTAAGCTCACCCTGTCTGCAGAATGCCGGTAGCTTTTCCGGTTTGATTGCTCAGAGTCAGGCTGTATCTAATGAGAACGAAAGCGCCGCTCCTGAGCAGCGTGATGAGGTTGGAACCTCAGCCGGGAAAACTGCTCGCGTGTGAAACTAAGTGTGTGAGTGATTCCTTGCAGGACCGGGACCTGAAGAGGGGTAACTGTGGGCAGAGTAGTTCAAAAATCCAGTGCTGTGCAGAGTTAGGGCCTCCAGGACTCCCAGTGCTGTTGAGGAAGAAAAGGGTGACATTATTCTGCCTCTTCTCCTCCGGGTACCTTTACAGGAGGTGCTGTTCCAGGGCTGCCAAGGGGCTTGGGGCTCCAGTTCATCCCCGTTCGCACCATTGTTCCGCCGGTGGCTCCTGCCAGGCCTGTCCCATTCCGAGCAAGGCTGACTGCAGCAGTTGACTGGGCCGGATCTGCTGCGGTGGTTGTTAGGCCAACGGGCAGATGCACGGGGCCTGGAAACGGGACAGCGAGGCTTGTGAGCGCTGTAGTTCCGGCCCGGAATGTCACTGAGGAAGAGGCATAGTAAGGGATGCGCTGTGGAAAGTACCGCGCAGGAAGCCAGTTTCCTCTGAAGTTTAATATTGCTGAGCTTATTCCGAACTCTGCGGTAGGGGTGTCTGGCTCCTTGATAAAGTGTTGTGGGGTAATCATTGTGCTTGCTCATGGATCAAGGCTTGTGCTGGCTTGCATCCCCCCACCCCCCAGCAGGTAGCAGCGGTACTGCTTTGGGTGATGATGGGGAAGTGGAGAGTAACTCAACTGTCTTCTTTACTGTGGGTGGTGCAACAAAGTATCGTCGTTGTCTTTGTGTGGGTTTGTCTTTGAAAACTTTGTGATCTTCACTTTTTTTCCATGTAGCTGTTGAATCGCAAGGACAAGACCACTTTTGAGAAGTTGGACTATTTGCTGTCTAAGGAAGATAATTACAAAAGGACACGCGAGTACATCAGAAGCTTAAAAATCGTTCCTACTATACCATATTTAGGTGAGTTTGAACAATTTCCGTATTTATCTGGAGCTCGGTTTGACTGTATTCCATGCCCGACAAGGCCGCTGTCTGCGTGACATTCCAGAGCTCGCTGCTGGTTACTTCAGGCGTGTTCTCCGTTCCGGCGGGACAGGCCGCTTGTGGCGTGCAGCCCCTTTGCACTGAGCCGTTCGTGTGACGGCAGCTGTGCTAGCGCTTAGTTTGAACTGGTTTTGTGATGATGCTACTGCCTGGGTTTTTGGCTGAGGAACAGAGGTCGTGGCAGTGTTAATGATCACTCAGAGCAGGATTTTTTCTTCCCCGTGGGGCTTTGTTACTAGATGTGCGTGAAGTACGCCGTGTGTCTGCATCAGTAATGAGCAGTGTGAACCTGGAGAGCATCTCGGCCTGGGAGTTTGGGGAGGCAAGGTCCTGCTTTCTCTGATGATCCTTAATGAGTTCCTGGGGCAGTAGGGTCCGTGTGCTCTGCTGGATGAGATACAGCCTGGTAGGGATTGTCCCGCTGCCTCCTGTATCCGTGCACTCCAGCGTAGGGCCGTAGTGCTGCCGGGAGCGCTCTGCTGGTCTCTCGCCTGTCACTTCCTGTTTGCGTTGTGCACTGAGAAGCCCTGAGAGGTTCGAACTCTTGGATCCCTGGGGGTTCCAGGGCCCATCTTAGGGGTGCTGTGGCCTGAGGGAAGATTTTAGGAAATGGTAGTGGTCGCTAAGCTAGGTCGCAAGCCCCGGGGTTGATTACACGGCGGGAACGTGCGGTGGGAGAATTTTAGACACTTTTGCTGCAGAAGGGTGGAATGATGGCTGAACATTTGTACTTGTCTACAAGAACGAGGCTCTTCTCTCCGGTGCGCCATCTCCAGGGTTAAAATGGGTCTCATGCACTGACTTTTCTGCGCTGTCTTTTTTTAACTACATGGCAAGGGTAGAGAAATGACTCGCCTTTTGGGTAGAAAGGCCAAGGCATAAGGTTATTTTAACAAATGACTCGGCCTGGACATGGGCTTAAAGCCTGCCACGAGTGCTGCGTGGAGGCGTGTCGGTACCTTACCTCCTCCTGCGGAGAAGCACCCGCAGGACCTTTTCTGCCGGATGCCCTGTCCTGGGGATCTGCAGAGGGTTCCCTGAAGTTTGCTGCGTACTGCCACCGAGCCAAGCATGGCGCAGCGTTTGGAAGAGTATCTTGACTGCACTGTCTTCATAAAGCCTCTGATAGTCCTTTTTGTGCCACCGGTGGGTGTGGGGAGGTAACATTCCTGGTGACCTGCGCTCGAGAAGAGAAGAACTCCAGGAAGTTTTTCCAGAGTAAACACGTGGCTAACACCCCGTTTGCCTTTCTGGCCCCGTGTCTTGGCCTGCGGGGTGCATCGGGCTGTGCCCGGGAGCACTGTGGTAGCAGGAGGGCAGTGTCTGCGCCTGACCCAAGGGCATCGCTGTGCTGGAGCGTGCTCAGGAAGTTGGGAATGTGCACTTACAGACATCCAGCAACGCACCGCGCTGTGGGGAGCTTGGTAGTGACTGCTCTCGGGCGGCAGCAGACGGTGCGTTCTGCCTGAATGAGTGGTTAGTTGTAGATGTTGGCAGGGATTTTCCTGCCTCCATTCTACAAACCTGATCACTGGAGCGCCGTGGCCAGGCTGTAGAGCCAGCAGATGCATTTAATATTTCTTACCTGAAACATAATCGTTTTCCAGCGTCTGGTAGATAAACCAGTGGCAGGTCAAGCTTGAATGCTGTTTGACACTGCGGATTTTCACGTGACGTAGGTACGTCTCTCCTCCTCGGGATGTGTGGAACTTTAGGGTTTCTCTCAGCGGGAAGTGGCTTTGCTCTTGATGTTGCTGCATTTGGACACTTCATGCTCTTTACAGCAGGTGCGTGTCAGAGTTGGGTTGTGAGGCAGCGTTGTGTGGAATCAGGTGATCATCTGATCCTGGCTGTGAACAGTCTCAACTGAAACAGGATGAAATCTGAACGTGTCAAATAACATTGGTTGCTTTATTAAAGGATTACAGTATTACGGGGTACTCTGATATATTAACCCCCTACTTTGAGTTATATACAGCACATGCTACATGACACGCCAGTTCAATGCACGTCATACCGTGGGGACGAAGCGCAGAGGTAATCGGGGAAGAGGTGTGCAGCACGCACAGACGCACAGAAGTGGCTTGCAGACTTACTGAAGAGGATAGTGACCCTGGGGAGGCTTCTGCTCTCCCCCTTACATGTATCCCTGCAGTCAGAACTCCCTTCCCTGCAGTCGGAACTCCCTGGAGTAGCTGCTCTTTCCAAGTGGGTGCTGTAACAGGCTGTTCTAGAAGCCCACCTCGGGAGAATATTGGAATGACCCCAGTCAGTGTTTCAGAGCTGTGACTGACCTCTGAATAGAGATGAGTAAATCTGTTTAATAATTTGACAGTAATATGTTATAATGGTGAAATATGATAAATACAGCTTTTCTTGGCTACAGGTAACTTCTTTATATAATTTCCATCTACTGGCTAAGGATATTAAATAGCTTATGTATCGGTATCCGTCGTTGGCCTGCAAAGTTGGATAGCCCCTTTAGTGTCCCTCCAGCCGTTTCTGATTACAGAGGGTGCGCAGCAGCTCAGGACTGCTCGGGCACCCAGTGCTGTGACAGCTCTGTCGGGCACCGTTTGCTGTGCAGCACGTTACATCTGCGGTAAATCTGGATTAATTTCCACGTGCAGGCAGCTACTTCATTTTGGTAAGAAAAATCATGGTTTTAATCTAAAGTATTTGAGTCAAGTGTGAATTCTGATTTATAGGAGCAGGTTACTAACGCGCTCAAAGAGAAGAGGAAAGACTGGATTTCTCAGGACAGCAGCGGTTTGAGTGTCTGCTCTCCAAATCAAGTTACATAGTACTAACTTTATTAATGGCAGTTAACAGAGATTAAATTAGAATAGTCACACTAATGTACATACACCAGCTACACGGTTCAAAGGACGCGACATCCTGTGTCAAGTGATTGCTCATCATCATCATGATAAAACTCTTGCTGTACAGTTTGTAATATTTCCTGTAATTGAGAATATTTATACACAATATAACATAGAAAAATATTTAAATGTTGTGGCAGTATTTTTACCGTCCAAACTTAATTTACAGGGAATAAAACCTGAAAAGTTTCTCTGCAGTCCATCTAAACGGCCAGTTCCCAAAGGCTTAATAGAACTGCACTTAGTACCGAGGCGTTGGAACGCCACGTCATTTCTGCTTCGTTCTTCTTCACCTTCTTTTTCCTGAAATGATTCCTGAAAATACAATATACAGACCTTCACATCTTAGCAATAAATGTACAGTATCTTACATTCCTCCCTTCTGAACAGACAATTCCGGGTAGCGACATCCTAGCGTTAGGTGATGGTTGAACAGAAAGCAAACCGAGAGAAGAATGATCTCAGTGGAATGTGTTGGGGTTAGGTCTTATCATCATAACAACTTTCTTTAGTGAGTATGATCCGCCCCGGAATTCAGCCCAGTAAACACCATCCTGGTATCGGCTGCGGTAGTGTCCTCCGCGATACCAGACTCCGTTGAGGTTTGAATGAGCGCAGGCGTTGTACCACCATCCTCCCTTCTGGTAATGAGCACAGTTACCTGCAAAAGAAAGCTCCGACTCAGGCTGAGGGGCAAGTAAAGAGTCCTGCAGGAAGCGAGCTAAGCACAAGGTTTAATCTGTCTTCCTGTAAACTGCGTGTTCAATGTCAGATACCGTGTGGTAGGGGGTGAATTCAGGCTTCCTCAGGAGCCTCAGCTCTGCAGGTCGGTTCTACACGGACCCATCGGTGTCGCTCGCCCGTGCTGCAGAAGTTGGCGTTACCCTCTCAGGTAACACCCCAGAGCATGTCTGACCAGCCCTTGTTTAATGTAAGTGCTAAATGGGAACTCTGGTTCAGTGTTTCTGCATTTGAGGGCTGACATGTCAGTCTGTGCATCACAAGTTACTGACAAATCTCTGAAAACGTGGGTTTGGGGGGTAGCACTCTAAGTATTTTTCCTTATTTAAAAAAGGAAGAAAGGGAGGGGGATGGCTGGGCAGAAAAAGCAAGGCAGCTGCGAGGGATCTTGTACCTGTGTATACGTCGTGGTCCCGGTCCAGCGTGGTGAACTGTTTACCGTTGTGCCAAGTGAAAGAATCCCCGGCGTTGCCGTTGTAGCGTCCCAGTCTCAGCTTGTAATACTCGCTCTCCGGCTCCAGCCTGAAGCTGGCGTACTCCGCGAACACCTTCCGACCTGACCAGTCTTCCATTGTGATCAGCAGTTTGTAGTTGCCTTGATTCGTTAGCCAGTAGATATTTTCTAATCCGAGCCAGTATTCTCCATCAATGTTACCGAAGCCTTGCTGTGAAGGAAGCAGAAGTAGGTTAATGACGTGCACCTCTGAGTGGTGAATCTCGGCGTATTCTCCAGCCGAGAACCAGCGTCAGAGTCTCCCTCTTCTGGGAGGGCAAACGCACGTTGGCCAGGCTCGACAAATCACCCCTTAAATTAATTTTACCAGTAATTTTTAGAGGGTAGAACACATTCAACTGCTCGCTTGTCCTAACCTTGTACGTCTCCCAGTTCCTGAAAAAGTTGACAGAGCCATCCAGCCGCCTCTGGATGACTGTCCAGCCGCCGGGGTCGTGCCGCTGGTCGCACCAGACCTGCATCAGCCGGTTCGTGTTCTCGGGTTTTACAAGGTAGATGGAGCTGGTGTCGTGGCCGTCTTCCAGCGCTTGTAGGCAGTCTCTCCAGGGCCCTGTGTCAAAAGAGAGGACTCTGCATTCAATGCGGGCGGTATCTCCATTGCTACCTTTTTACAGTAGGTTTGCTTCTGCTGAGCAGTGCATTTGTTTCTCCTCTGCCTGAAGGTACAGTGTCTCTGAGAGCTCTCACGCTCGTTTGGTGTAACATTATTTCTGGAACATTCCACAGTGAATTACTGATAAAGGTGGATTTATTAATTTATTAATTTTATTTTATTATTTAAGGCAACTGCACTTACAACACTGACTGAGTAAGGCCAGGCTTGGAGCAACCTGGTCTCATGGAGGGTGTCCCTGCCCGTGGCAGGGGGGTTGGAACTGGATGATCTTCCAACCCAAACTAGTCTGTGATTCTATGATTATTTCTTCAAAGAAGTGAAACATGAATGGCTCTAGGTAAATATTAATGATTTCCTTCAGAAAACAAAACGATAAGTTTGGCTTTGATTCCGTCTTTGAGAAATTCAGCTTTTTAGATCCCAAGAATGTCATTGGCACAGACATTAACAACGGAACCAGCAACATAAATTAAAAATGTAGGTGTTACTGCTGTCACTTTAATAAATGTTAACACAAAGTAGACGTTAAGATTTGGAACGTGGAGTGCCCACTAAAATAGTGAGAGAAACTGTAGCTGAACTTCTGAAGAACCGTGTGTTGTGCAGTACACGGGAATCACAGATAATGCTCTCGTTTGCAGCAGGAGAATGCGTGTTTTCCCGCGAGCTCAGCAGAGCCCCTAAAGACCCTGCTCTTCCTGACAGTGTCTTACAGTCATGATTTTTAGAGAAATCGTCTCCAGTGGGAAGACAGTTTCCTGGGACGTTTAGATGAAACAGTCAGGGGTCTGTTGGTGTCTGCAGAGAGGCCCCGGCAGCCGCTTTGCTGCTGACCTCGTGTCGCCGAAGCGGAAGAGTGAAGGCACAAGGACCCTCAGGATGGGAGACCCTTGCTGACACCCACCCCCACGCATCAGGTCTCTGGGCAGGACGCGCTGAAGCGTACGTTGCTGTCGAGTAATTTAAATTCCTTCAGTTCCTCTGCCCTTTCCGTCACTCACTGCCCAGCCCTGGAAATGGCAGAGCCACCCCCGTACCAGCTACCTGAGTTCAGCACAGTTTTAGAGAAGCACCCTCAGTGTCTGGGTGGGTGTTTCAGTGGTTTTAAGCAGTTAATCAGTGTATGAGGAGGCCGTCTGAGGTTTTGGTCTGTGGCCACGCTGTGTTGTTTCCGTGGCCATGTCCTCCTGCCGTGGCTAACTGATGGATTTCTGGCAGTTGCGATGTGGACGCAGGGTTCTGTGACACCGCTGAGTGGCGTAGGATGGGAGTTGGGAGAAGCGTAACGCATGCCGGTCGATCTCATCGCCATGCGCATGAGCGGCGCTTGCTACCCGCGGCAGAACGGGTCGGTTGCCCGTCGTTACCGAAGGAACTCGTGCAGTGTCAGCATTGGGTCTCTGGCCTGGTGTCCCGGACGGCATGCACGCAGCGCTGCGACGTGCTCCTCCTGGCTTTCTCATCTCGCGGGTTTCTCTGCGCCGTGTGGCACCAGCGCTCTACCGCACATGGTTCTTTTCTCTGGACGTGCTTTAAGATGAGCATGAACCACTGTAAATGCTCACAGCAGTTTGCTGCTGCTCTTCACTACAGGTGGTTTTTTGTCAGATACGAACCTTCCAAAATTTTGACTAAGGGGTGTAGTTGGATGTTTGTCACCTCGCATCCGAAATGAAAGGGAACGTACTGAAGATGACTGGCCCAGCACAGGTCTCTAGACACCATGGTTGACTGCCTAATGAAAAAAACACCCTATCATTACGGAGTTTTTATGGTTTATTTCTGTGAGGCTCTTTCTTTGCAGCCACATAGAATCACAGAATCATGGAATGGTTTGGGTTGGAAGGGACCTTGGTTTAGGTTGGAAGGGACCTTAAAGCCCCCCCGGTCCCACCCCCTGCCATGGGCAGGGACACCTTCCACCAGACCAGGCTCCAAGCCTCATCCAGCCTGGCCTTGGACACTTCCAGGGATGGGGCATCCACAACTTCTCTGGGCAACCTGTCCAGTGCTCCCCACCCTCTGCGGGAAGAATTCCTTCCTGATGTCCCATCTCCCTCTTTCCATTTAAACCCGTTACCCCTTGTCCTGTCACTCTCTGCCCTTGGGAAAAGTCCCCCTCCAGCTTCCTTGTAGCCCCCCCAGACGCTGTTTTTAACCACCTCAGTAAGCGGCAGTTCAGTGCTTTGTGGCAGCACGCGGACTGCGTATGGGTGAGAACGGCGTCTGACGAGAGGGGTACGTGTGGGTACTGCACACCCCAGGCTGGCTCGTCGTCAGGGTGACGGGATAATGACACGCCACTCAGATCTGTTTACTGCTTGTTCTACTGCTCTCAGCATGTTTCCTCTCAGTGAGGGGAAGGTTTTTTTGTTCTGCAGTGTCACACCTGCCCCCTTTCACTCCTCACATACTGAGGTAGTTTTGGGGTGAGATTACACAGTAGTTAATTGTTTCGTGTTTATTTTCCTTTAGCACCCTGGGGTTCTGCTTTACTCTTTGCAGTTTGTTGGTAATCACTTTTTTTGTGGGCTTTGTAACCTCTTCTACCAGCACTTCCCTCTGGGATAAATCCTGCAGAATGTTTTCCCTGCCACTGTCTGGGAGAGCCCAGGAGCCTCCGTGTCTCCTCAGGGAACACTCATGTCAAAACCCAGTCAGACTTTCTACTGCTGTGTTACTTTCTCCAAGAATCCCTTTGCGTCGCTCCCTAGGAGCTTTCAGGCAGGCTGCCGGGGCCTCATGTGTCAGAAATCAGATTTATTGTGCCTTTTTGTCCCTTTTGCAAGTAGTTTTTAAGATTTTATTGTGTCTATTTAACCTGACAGAGTATATTCTTTTCTTTCTTCCTCATTTGGCCATGATTTTAGTGCTTTAAATGATGCCTTCCTTGCAATCCTGCTCCTTTTCCAGGTCTCTGAGGCTGTTACATCAAGTCTTGCTAAAACCCCAACTTTCTAGTTCTCGGTGGGTGTTTTGTTTAAGTGGTAACATTTGTTCAGAACCGTAGATATGGTTGGCTTGGCCTTGCTTATATATATAGGCCCAATATTTCTGTGCCCTGTTTAAACCTCCTGATTTCAGATTACCTTTCAGCATTTCTTACTTGAATTCTGTCCGCTGTGCCTATCCAAAGATCTTACGTGATGGAACAAAATCTGCATTCCTTTCCCTAAAGGATGTATCGGTTTAAACCATCTGCTTCATGAGGACACAGTTGTCCCTGTGATATGTGCTGCCTTATGCGACTGTGTTTATCCCTGTACAGAGGTGATGCCTGTTTTGAAAACGTGTGTGATCCTACAGAACCGCACAGAGGGTTGTTAATCCTGCGTTAACCTCCGCTCTGCTGTGTATTACTCACAGTGTCACAGAGTGGAAGGGACCTCTGGAGACCATCTAGTCCAACCCCCTGCCAGAGCAGGATCCCCTAGAGCAGATCACACAGGAACAAGTGCAGGACTTTGGAAAGTCTCCAGGGAAGGAGACTCCACCCCCTCTCTGGGCAGCCTGTTCAGGGCTCTGTCACCCTCACAGGGAAGGCGGCTTTCCTCATGGTCAGGCTGAACCTTCTGTTTTCCAGTTTATGGCATTGCCCCCAGTCCTGTCACTGGACACCACTGAGAAGAGCCTGGCCCCATCCTCCTGACACCCCCCCTTAGATATTGATAAGCATTGATAAGATGCTCCTCAGCCTCCTCTTCTCCAGCTGAACAGCCCCAGCTCTCTCAGCCTTTCCTCATGTGGAAGGGGCCTC